TAGTTGACTATAATGATTGTTTCAAAAAGGAAACAATTATTCGGTTGTCGAAGCCCGTGGGGTGTTGGATAGAACTCTCCTGAGTTCTGAGAGCGTTCCTAAGATCGAGTTTTACATGTGTTATCTAGTCCTGGGTGGGCTGAAAAATATGTAATCGCTTTCCTCAGCTGAACTCGACAGTTTGCTCACTAAATATAGACGTTAACATACGGAATGAGTGTAAAAATGTATAGGACTCAATGAGAAGTTCTGAAAATTTCCTCACAGAATTCTCATTTTGTCACCAACATATGTGGTTGACCATGCGCATATTCCCCCCCCCCCGGATGTGATTAAACAGTGGAAAAAGTGATAGTAAACATCGCTCCGCTAAATACTAATTTTGTGTATGTTTTTCACGCTCTCATCAGAAACCCATCCCAAAAGTCCCTCAGGGTTTGATAACAGTGGAGGAAAACGTTCCTAATGTGATGATGACATTTACATGGCAAACTGATTGAAGAATGTGTTACTAGCCATCCGTGGAAAATTCAAAATGAGTTCATCCCGGGAAACATTATAGGTTTCTGGATGATACTGTTTTTTGAAATTCTCTCCTACCGCTCGCCTCGCGTTTGGTAGTTGTCTTTGAGACGGTATTTAAGTGATGGACCAAGACGCCTCCAAAAACGGCATCAGGGAGATGTTCGCGTCGGTGCCTGACCATCACCTTTTTGAAATGGTGGTTGCTATATTACATGCTCGACCGCAGTTACGGCTAGAGGTGAAAAGAATATGCACATGGTCAACTACTGAGAATTTTGGGAGGGAATTTTTGGAATTTCTTAGTTGTTTTTATACACCTCTAGTTGAATTCGTCTGTAAACTTCTATAATTAGCGAGGAAACTTCAGAGAAAAGTAAACATATATTCCTATGAAGGTTTTTGGTCATCGCAGTGATTGTGTGGGGAAATATACAATATGGAATCCTCGTTGGTTTCTATATAATTCTACTCGATTCCGTATGTGAACTTGTGAGCTCAGCTGAGGAAAGTAAACATATATTCCTATGAAGGTTTTTGGTCATCGTGTGGGATAATACACGATATGTAATTTCGGTTTTTTTATGTAAACTTGTGAGCTCAGCTGAGGAAAGCGAATAACATGTATTCCTCTTCCAACACTATTCAGTTCATAGCGCAGCTTGCGGGTCTACCTCGGGCTCCTCCACCAGCTTTGGCTCCCGGGGATGTCCTTGTTGGTGGTGAAAGACTGAGTATTGCTACTTTATGTGGTGGGGAAGCGCGACCGGCTAAGCGATTGAAAGCTGATAGTCACTTGAGTAAGGCTCTTGCTTTTGCACGGGAAGTGTCACTGAATTTGGCGAGGTGTGGTATGGCTTTCCAATGGGCCTCATTCGTATCTTTGTAGTAGTCGTTATGGATTCCATAGAAATTAGTTTTTGAAAATTACCAATACTGTGTATGGGTTGAGGCGGCACTCGACCGTTAATCTTACATGTTCATTAAGTTGCTGTTATAGTGATGTGAGAGTAGGCAGCGGTTGAGATTCACACATTGGTGGACGAATTGTGGTTGGTGTGGAAAAATATGCACATGGTCAACTACGTATGTTGGTGACACTACAGGAAATCATCGCATTGGTTTCTGTACATTTGTACTCCCAATTCGTATTATATAATCAGCGAGGAAACTCTGCTGAGCTCAGCTGAGGAGGTCAAACATGCTATCAACACTCTTGGTTTTCCTCATTGGCCCAGTGAGCCGGCACTAGTCTTGAATACCTCTTTAGATTCTCCCTCTCACCAGCAAGGGTCTTCCTTGATACTCACACAACCATCACCATCAACAGCGGCTTCCACACCACATAAGGACCCCCTGGCTGAGATGACTATCTTGCCGACCCCACAACGACCATGCAGTGCTTACCTTGCATTTGCTAGGGAGCAACTTCACAATGCTAGAAGAATGAGTAGGATACCTTTTGATACCCATACTAGTATTGTATGATGTCTTTTAGACCCCAATAGGGTGATAGATGCGGCTACGTTTGGGGTCTTTGCTGGTCAGCAGTGGATGAGCATGTCGGATGCAGATCGAGCACCGTAAGGTCGATTATGGAGTGTTGAGATTGTCACTTTCTGGTGCATTTTCTGTGCGTTTGTTGGTTCTATTATTTCTCAACGACTACACCAGTTGAGCTCTCAAGGGATATACCAATATCGCAAAAACTAAGAAATTTCTCTCGGCGCCAGCCTATGCCGTTGTGCGCTGTAACGGTGAACAACCGGAAAATGCTGGAAAAAGCCCGCACCGGGGATCGAACCCGCGACCGTGAGAAATACTCCGAAGCCTAGTATATGGTTGCCTTCCTCAGCTGAACTCCTGAGGAGTTCCCTTACTAGAATATGGAGATTCTGGCTAGAAGCTTAACGAGAATTTCCCAAATTTTCCTCAAAATTTCATGTTGTCACCAACACACGTAGTTGACCATGTGCATATTTTCTCCCCGACGGTCTTATACTCCCTTTGAAAGGTATATAGAAGCCTTCGACTCACGAATGGAGGAGTACCGCATGCTGAGAGCTGTAGCTATGGTCACTGGCAATGTACCATGGGCCGCCGATACCAAAAATCTGTAACTTTTTCGACCCGCATTTTCCTGTTGAGTTGAGTATTCCCACAATATGTAGGCAGGCATGTTCGAGAGTCCTAATAGTGATCCTCATCAACGGTTTACAGGGTTGGGTACGGAAACATCGAGACTGCTACATGGAGGCTTTCTGCATAGTAGCCGTCGAGAAACCACAGACGCTAAGTCCCTTGAAGAGGTAGGGTAGGGGGAAAACTATGAGGATTGTTATTATCATGTCGCAGATTGTCACGGGCTTTGATACACCCGCTGAAAGCGCTAGGAAATTTGAAGCATATTGTAGACAACAAACAGATCTTGGGAGAGCTGGTAAGATACAGCACGTCTCGTGTCACGGGCATAGTTTGCCACCTAGGACTCAACTGGATTCGAAAATTTGTATATAGACTCTCCTATTACATTGTTTGAATATTTGCACGGATGAAATTCTAGCTAGGAAACGGTCTCCTAGCAGAAAGCACACAATCGATTCTCAGGGAATCATACTCGGTGATAACACAGAAATTACTACATATCCTGAATCTACGCAAAATCGTTTGAGCTTCTGGACACTACATCACGAAAACGGCTATCCGTGTCACCAGCTGTATTTGGTATTGCCTCGTTGTAGTCACTGATGAGTTTTTAGGAGTAACCAAGCTCAATTCGGAGTTGCTTAGTTATCTGCCGCAGATCATGGTCTGCCTTTCTAGATGGCTGCGAGCTGAATCTAGTAAGTTACCATTGGGGAATGCGTTTTTTGAACCTTGTGACGAAATTGAGCTTCGCTCCGCCTCAACTCACAAGCCTGTGGGGAAAAAATCCGAAATAGAGCCTTCCGGAGGTATCCAAAATTCCAAAATAAAATAAAAATAAAAAAGCCTTCCAAGATAAATTCGCTTCGGAAGTATCGATTTTCCCTCTGCCTTTTCGAAACCAGAAGAGGTGCTGTTCCTCTACAACGTGGAGTTGCTGCCAAACGAACAGAAACTCAGTTTCACAACCCGTTTTACGTGAAGTGGCGTAAAACTCGGTGAAAAACGCGATATTCGCGGTGACATGCAGGAGTCGTAAAGTATGCTTTCCATATCACTAGGGTGGTGAAACGCCACTGTGCTACAACCCGTCAAGAACAACGACTATGATACGCATATTGAGGAAATGCCAGATAAACGGTTAAGTCAGGTACGGTTGACGCGACAATTCTCAGAGTGTTCGACCCTAAAGGGCCTCTAGTAGAATTGATAACATCATATAGTAGAGGGCTGACTTATGAACGAACGCCATATGGTGGGAATATGAGGTGACAGATGGATGGTGACGGTTGGGCCTTGTTTGTATCTTTATATCAAAGATATCTATTGCCCATATCGGTGCTTCCTACTGCTACTCAAAGGGAGCTCCTCATACAGACCGGTGAACAGTTCGATGCAGCGCACGGGCAGAGGGCAGCAGCTCTGTACAGTGCTGGGGGCAGCAGCAGCAGGAGAAGTGGCAGGGCAAGAGATGTGAGCGGGGACTTACCCAGTTTTGAGAAATGGAATTTTCCAGGGTTTGATTAACAATGGGGAAATGAGTTTCTGATGTGATGACATTAACATGGGAAACTGATTGATATGTGTAGCTCAGCTCGGGCGTTTTCTCACTAATTAAATGAGTTTATATACGAATTCGGGTAGAAGTATTCAGAAATCAAGAGGAAATTCAGAACTCCCATGTTGTCATCGACAAATGTGGTTGATCCAATTGCATATTTTTCCACACTGACTGTACCGAACTGTTCATAGTGGAATTACGTGTGTTGGAGTATATGCAACTTTCCCGACCACATTTTTTCCTACTATCTCAGGCACTGTGTAGCTTCCTCTCCCTTCCGGAACGCTATGTATCTGAGTCCCGTTCTGTCCAGCTCACTGCTGAGGTAAGGTATACGCTAGCATTCAACTTTGTTCTGATGTGCCCGCGTGACCTGATATCTCCCGTGGTTGAATAACATTATCACTTTAGGAATTTTCGATAGCCACGTCTTGAACGTGTCGTTACCACTATTCTAGCGATCCTATGTGTCATTAACAGTTGTAGAATATTCATAATATGAACATCCTACTGAGTACTGGCGTATTCCGAATAATATGAATTTCATATTACTAATACATAGTGTTAATTAGTAATCACTACTGACATGACTGTACTACTACACGTATATGTGACAAAACATAGTTATACAAGTTGTCTTTTTCGGTTACATCATGCGCAATGTCAAGCGAATTCTCACCGACGCATGTCCGCAACGGCAGCTCATATACTACATTCGTGACTTTTTTTGGAAATGAATTTGAACTTAGATGGATATGGTAGAAATAAATTAGAGAGCGAATTCCTGAACACTTCGTATTGGCCGCCTTAGGAGTACTTCCTGGTCAACTTCATCTACCTTATGGTGTCTGGGCCGATATCAGCGATAGATGTGGCAAGCGGGTGAGTTTATGCTTCCGTCACACCTTCAATTATAATACCTCAGTAGACGGGGTAGCAGCAGTCATCACTCACACAGCAATCGTAAGGATTTCTGGTCCTCACATGAGCTGGGTCTGGGCTCTTCGAAGGTGAGCACTATTACTATCAATTCGATATCAAATGAGGAAAATGTGCGTTATTTTTCGATTTTAATATGAATCGATCTGGAAGATATGGACCTGTCATGTGATGACCAGATGGCTACAAGTTGTTCACTATCATTAATCCCTGGATAGAAAAACACATTTTTCTCACATCTGCATATCAAGTTGGCACGCTATTTTCAGAGGCGCTGTCCGTCTGATACTGGAGAGACCTTCTCGGACTCCTATGATAAGCTGTTGGATTCATATCTTGCCCGGTGAGTTAGATATGAAATAGGTCCGAATTCTGCCTATGTTCATGTGTAGATATTTCGAGCAAGATCCCTCGATCTCATCGGAAAAGGTGTCTACGAGTTCGGGAGAGAAAGAGCACAGACAGCATATGGTAGGGTTCGCAGTGTGGGAAAATGTACATGTGGCCACCTACGTGTGTTATGCAAGGTCAATTGAGTGAACACAGTTAAATGTCAACTTGATAAGGGTATGGAAACAAGAGTATGACTATGTGCAACACATCAATGATTAATACGTCATTCGACTAGCGCTAGAGATATGATGGAGTTTCACCCGTGATGTGAAAAACACATTTCACATTTCACTTCGCGTGAAACGGGTGAAACTCCAATGCATTGGTACACAAAGGCAAGTATGAGCACAGATATATCTTTGCATGTGCCTTATGCTGAAGCCAGCATAGTGTTGTTGACGACGAGGAAATACAGGAAAAATTCTAGAATTCTGAGTGCATTTCTAGCAAAAGTTGCATTGAAGTTCTCGTAATAAGTGTGGAAATTTGACGCTCAGCCGAGGAACGCAAACGTGTATTCTATTTTTGTGTTTTTCTGAATCGACATGTCCCTTCCTCTAGTATGGGAGTATACGCAGATGGTCAAATACATGTGTTGGTGACAATATGAAATATCTGAGGAAAGATCTAATTGGTTTCTCTTCATTTTCTCCCTAACTCGTACGTAGACTCTCATAATTAGTGACGGAACTCCTGAGGTTAGCTGAGGAGAGCGATCATATATTCCCCCAACACTGCTCCCTTTCTTTAGGGCCTTCTATTGGTTCATCTGGTGATAGCATTTTGGATTGCCCCCCAGTCGAGCAGTCCTGTTGGGGTTGCTCAAGTTAAGCTGGATGTCCCCCTGTTGCGTTCCCTTCGAACTGTGTGTGTACGCGTGCTAGCGCTGGATAGTCTTAAAGGTAGGTGAGCACGGTATTAGGATATACGGTTATTCCGGTCCGTCATTTTGTCAGCTTGTATAACGGCAGTAGATGCTGCAGAGGCTCGTAGATCGAACACTCATGCCGGCGATGAGGAGGAGGTAGCACTACCCTAGAGGGTTTAACTTTCGGGGATGGTAGCCTATCTGCGGTGTGCGTCATCGTTGTTGAGAGTATCCATTTGGTGAGATGTTCTTTTCCCTATGCTGTGATCTTGGAATGAAAAAGTTCACACGTGCAACTACATGTGTTAGTCTGGGTGAATATTCGCTGGAACATAACTCGATAAGAAGTGTGCTGTGGCCTAGTTGATATCTGGGAGCATAGACAAGCGTAGTGCAGTCATTCTCGTTACATTGACGATCTATAAGGTTTATAATAAACCGTTTATTAAAGTACATCTATAAAGCATGTGAACGGTATGGTGATGTTCTTTCAGTGGTCGTTGCTTCCTGGTGATCGTGATGGTCATCGATTGGCTTTACCCCCGTGCTTTCCTCCAGAGTGTCAGCTCCTGCTACCTTCCGTTGTAGAGCTACTCCATCAGTGAGAGTCGTGCTTCGCTCCGTTCAAAATATGTAATTTGTTGTCGTTTTTCAGGAAGCTATATCACGACAGATCTGCTGTGAGTAGCGAGACAGCGGTGTATCTGTTGAAGGTGTGGGTGATGCTCTTGCAGCCGTGGGGAGCCGGTGAGCTCATGGACCTAGTTCGGGCATGAAAAAAATCTTTCCATCACTAAGGTGCTTGGATCGGTACCTCATCGACTGTCGACGTGGACGTGTGGCCGTATTATGTCATGGCTATGCAATGTTTGCTGCGAAATCCTTATTCGTTGCAACCGTTACCATTGTAAGCAGCTGGTACTACTGTTTCTGTCTGTGAGGGTGTATCGGGCAGATACTACCCATTGATGGAGATAGCGTTCAAACACCCCGCAGTGAGCGGCACTTGTGAGGATATGTTGGTCGAAGGCGAAGATGATAGAAAATTCTTCAACTCGACTGAGATTTACAGCTTCGTGAGTGGCTTGTACGATGGCTGTACGCAGGGAAATCATTATCCTAGGTTCACATGTTGGTCGTCCTTTTTGAATGCATTGTTAATGATCGGCTCATGTCGGAAGTAGCGATAAATTCCCTACCCCAGCAGGGAGGAGGCAACGCTGTCTTTGCTAGCCCTACTACTCTTGCTAAGTCATTTGTGGACGAAGTACGTGTGTGATGGGATTGTTGACATTTGAGTGCCTCCTGTAGGTTTATCCGGCCTACCGTGCATTGCTTAGAAGTGGATCGTTCGTGCCTGACTTCAAACACGATATTAAGCGAATATCACTTGCAATGAAGGTAGGTGACAGTCTATATTAGATGTGCATGTTTGTGCAGGTCTCTTCTTTCTGGGGACGGACGATTCTTGTTACTGGTCGTCAAAGTGCGGCGTCGGCTACGGCAAAAAAAGGCGGAGCGGAGGTAACTTCATCAGCACATTATGTTCCGCCGCTGTTGCTGAAACAGAATAATTTGGTTATATATCATGTTTTCGTTTTTTGGACCTCGCTGTTTCTGAATGTTTTCCCGAAGAACGCAGCAGACTCAAGTCCATCAAGCTTGCTGTATCATTTTCTCTGTAAAAACTTATTTCTAATGGATCTGAATTAGGTTGCCCTGTGAGATTGGCAGGCATCATTGCTGCTGTCTTCAGGAGTCGAAGTTGACTCGTCTGAAAGGCATGGTCGAGCACGCCCTCTTTGCTGAAGACAGCAGGGCCGACCAGCCACTGCCGAGTCTGCCTGCAATCTCCTCGGTTACACCGCCGAAGCGAATTTGTAAGGTTGTCATTTTTTGTAGAAGTTGATGAGGATTTTTGGTCAGCGTTTGAGGATTCCCCACCTGCTGGTAGAGTGGAAGCAGCAGAGATCACCAACCCCTTGCCACAGAGTCGGGTAACTGACGTCAGCTACAATCGTCCATTGAAGTGAGTGGGACCATCAACCTTGTTTCAAGTCCATGCTCAGGTACCGAGGCTCTCGGTGGAGTCGACCGGTCGCTAGGATCGAATTTGAATGCCTCTTGGGGCCTTGTAAGAATCTGGCTCGGAGCATTGGACGAATGTTGGGACTAGACCCTGTTGCTACTAGTGATGGGCGAACTGAACCATACATAGAGTGGACGAGGTGGGTCGACTTAATGACAGACAGTATTTCATTTAGTGTGTCAGGTCCCTTTGTAGCGCCCGTGTACTATTCTGGTTAATGGTTTCCTTGTGGCTAATTGTGTCGAATGCAGTAACTGACTCGTTCATTGCATGGGTCGGCCCTGGTACATTATGTCTTCGTTGTTTATGGATACTACTGTTAATGATTGTAGCCTACCGATATTGGACGGCTCCCTGACTGGTTTCTAATGCTTTTGCTCAAGCAGTTGCGTAATGAGGTTAGGAAGGAAATTGGAGCGGCTAATAGCCGCCGGCTATGATAACTATCTATGCAGTTTTCCATCTGAAGGTACATCCGGAAATGTTCTGAAGATATGTTCCGGGTGAGAAATCTTCTACTTGTGCTTGGCACTGTCAGGTTGACAGCTCAATCTCCGATAACACATCTTTAGCGGCAGAAATTCAGCCCACATTTGTAAAGTTTAAACTTGTACAGTATACATATGTATACAATGTATACCTTTTGTATAATACATAATACGTCTCTATAGCAATCCTAGGCGTTGTGTTTCCTTTTTCGCCTAAATGCATGTAGTGAGTGCAGGTCTATCCGCAAGCTTTGATGAGACTCTTATATAATGTGGGAAGAAAGTCAGCAAGTGGTTTCAGTTCGTGGCAATATGTGATCAAGACTCCAGATGCCTACTACGATTGTGATAGCGGTGGGCAGCCGTGCTACTTCAAACTTCGTCAAGATAATTCCACCCGATTTGAGAAGCATATGCGGGAATCGCGTGCCGACATCTACCAAGGACATGTGGAATGGAAGAGGCCTCGTGATCCAGCGATGAAGAAGCTTAAGAATGGCAAGGCACACATTGCTTGAGCTTGGAGATACTATAAGACAGAAACATCTCTGTGTTTGAATCTTTCCACCGCGATTATCGCATGAGCTCTGCGAATAATCGGCTATACTGGGGGTAAGAAGGCGCGAGCAGCCGCAGCCAAAAGGCCGGTGACGCTCAACAGTTTCCACCACGGATGATTCTGCTCGACGATACATCGCCTTTCCATCGTGCTTCTCGGAAACGGCACATGTTAGCAAGCCCTGATCCAGCCCCAGATCCGGTTCTCCGTCGGAGCCCATTTGTGCTTCTGGCAATATCTGCCATCACAAACTACTTCTTGGGTCGGTTTGCCGAGTACGCTATATTTGGGATGCCACTGCTGTTCTAGCCAGGCCGTACTTCCATGATTGTATATCGTGTGCTCGCTCTGGTGTCGGAAGACCGTCGACCTCTCAGTCACAGGCTATCGCATCTCAAGCGAAAGAGAACGTTGCATCCAAAGTTCAGGCTCGCCTCGAAGCGTGTGAGGTGGTGACCTTTCTCTGAGAAAGTTTCTCGTACAAAGTTCGTAAAGTCCTCCGCAAAGTTCGTATCAAGGTAGGACATTGCCAATGTCACATTGGGATAGCGACGATCACGTGATAGCACGGCTATCATAGCAGCAACATTTGCTGAGCAAAGCACTGCGTTGCTCGCCAGGGAGAACCTCAAGGCTAACAGGATCCTCCCGGAGGATTCCTCCGTGACGCCTTCATCAAACGGAGTACCATAGAAGGTTTGAACAGTGAAGCCTCGGGCAACGAAGAGTCAGAACCGTCTGATGCCGCGAGCGATTTGTCGTCGAGTACAGGCTGATAGTATCAGTCAGCTCGTAATCACGGATGTAGTATCAGCATGTGATATCAGAGTGTGATAATGGACCTGCCTTCTATCGAGTGATGTACAATATATATATGAACATGTCGAGTTGTGGTAGTATCCGGTATTGACGCGGCATACCGGCGAAACGCATCTGGGCGAACGGCCGCAGGCCGTTTTGGAAAAATTTAGCACATTCTTTCCTCCGCAAACTTTCAAATTCCGTAAGTGATGAAAAGAAAGAAAGAAATTCTATCTTTCTTTCCGTCAGCCACTCTGTATCTCTATCAAATTCTCAGCACAGTCAGTTTATGTATCACGACCAACAGCCGTACATCCATAGTGTACACGCTTTTGTCTTCCGGTCAGGTATTTTCTCGGTTATGGATGAGGCATGCTTTCGATGAGGTCACGGAACAACAGAATGTATCAATTTCGAAAGCGACTGTAATAACGCAGCTCCAAGCTGAAACGACGCGATGGTCAATGCAGTCGATGGTAGATGATTCAATGCAGTTACAGAGTTGAGCGTCCTGGCTCCACCGTTGAATCGGAGGGGTCAGCAACAGAATGGATGAAGGCCTTGGGATTTCCAGCAGACGAAGTTGCTACCGCATTGGTATCTGGTATATCGAGGTCCTCGATTCGAGGAGTGATTTGAATCTGGAACATGATCCTTGGAAGTGCCTCGTACCAGGATACTGCGAACTTAAGACCCTTATGCCGTGGGTGAGCTACCGGGAGACTCGCGATGAAGCGATATGTGGAGGTCGGTCCCATATGGCGGGTGGGCAGAATTACTCCTATCTTCTGAACCAGAGATACTGGCATAGTGAGAGTATGGACGCTTGGAAGGCCTTCTGGGATAGCTCGGTACGTGCGGGGATGTCGTGCGATATCGAATACGACAACGAGATATGGGTAGTTGATCATCCATCTGTGGCCGGCGCCATACCCGATCTCCGAAGCGACGAAGCAGGGAGGGTCCTATTGATATCGGGTCTGGCGGCCGGAGTCACCGGGGAACGATGCAGATCAATCCCCAGAGCTTTCGTTATTCTCAATTGGCTCCAGGCTGGTTTGGTACCAGCCCGGTACATTATTCTTCACACGGATCGTAAAATACATAACGCTCCGCCGCAAAATTCGTGTTATGTGGGAATGTGCTGTAGGCGGCATGCGGAGCTATATCTCCCCATAATGAGAAGACTCGGGCTGAGATGTGCGTTGCGCGGAGATGGCTGTCACGATTTACCCACATCACCATTCTTTGGCAGAAGCTTGAAGGCCTTCAATTCTTCAGTGGTGGAGGATCTGGGGTCTCATGGGGAGAGACTGTCTGGGACAACCCCAGCTGAAGCAGCGTTATATCGCTATATTCTGTTGCTTAAGGAGTACTTATTCTTCAACCGAGAACTTCCCGGAGGTCTTCGTGTCCTGAACGGATGGGGGCTAAACCGTCTCCAAGACCTCCGACCGTATCCTATTCCAGAGGATGGATGGCATGACCAAGATATTTCGGACCAGGAATGGGCCAAGCTGTGGCACAGCCGTCGAGTCCAAGGAGGTATGCCTGCTCTGCACTGGAGCCGCCGGAGTCCGGTCCAGCTCAGTCAAGCACTGACATGCAACCGTTGCATTGCAACGGCGGTGGACTTACAACGCGGGGTAATCAAGGGCCTTTTGGAACAGTGTGGAAGAAGACTAGTCGATGGCAAATCCAGACGAACTTAGCCGTGCGATTCTCCGTCGAAACCCTGAACTTTGCGAATTTTCTCCGACGCGAAGGCGATAAATCAATCTATTGGATATCTAATCATTTTCAGATTACTTCGCAGCGGGAGGGGAGTCTACTCGCAATTAGCAACAGGAGATCGGAACTTCTTGTCGAATAGCTATCTTGTTGACAGATCATCGGACAGTGGTGTGCGCCGCACACTGTGCGGTCAGAAGCTACGAGTATTTTTCTTCGTTCAGCAGTGGTCTCGCGTTGCGAGTGCGGGCAGAATTTTGACTCTCGTGGACATTATTATGTGGGTGACATGCAGCGATAAATGTCAAAGCCCATGTGTTATGAGGGGTTGTTGTGGCGAGGAGAATGAGGGAAGTGAGCCAGTTGTTACTCTCAAATGTGCTATGAGGGGTGTTGCTGACACCGTCAGCGTGTCAGCCTGAGTGGCTGGCACGTAATTGTCCAACCATGTAACATGTATTACGAATAACGTAAATCCTGCAATGTAACATGAAACAATTTGACATGAACAATAGCAATCGTCGATTCTGCGGATGTACCCAGCTTGGGTAACCCAGGATAGGATGTCCCGATTTTGGTATCGTGTCGGTGACGTGGTTATCGATGGGACTCCCCGAGCTGCTTCAGAGCCCGCACGACTGGGGAACACAACATCATTTCCTTCTTTGAAACGGTCCTATGCTGTAACTTCCAGAATGGCCACATGCAGCGGGTGTTCATCCGCGAAACGCCTTCGAGCATGACACAACCGCGTTCGAATACACTACCAGAGGCCAATCATAGGCGTTAGCCTCAAGTCTCAAACCTGATGCAACAGGCTGTTACTAACAACGTGTCCCAACAATAATTTTTCCTGATTTACCTGGCATTTTTCCTGACATGAGTGGCACGTACTTTCAACAGCTCTTAAGATTGTCAGATTGGTAAAACCAACTTGGTACGATTCTTTCACAGAGAAAATCGCTCTAGCTCGTGTTCATGTACAACACGAAGACCTAGAACACAATCATTAGCATTAAGAACATATCTAATGTTAGGAACACGGTAACCACTCGGCGGGTGACACCCGCGCGTCGTAACTGTCTTTCTTCCATTCGACGTGCTGCTTTTCCTGCTCCTTGTATTTTACGTGTTTGTCTGATATCCGTTGAGTTTCCCAACATTCGACCTATAAGAGCACGAGTTGAGAGTGGTTAATCAGGGTCAAAGCTGGGGACTCACAGACAAGGCATCTCATAACCATGAATGAATTTGAGTTTCAGGTGTGTGCACATATCGCCAAATGATCTGGATTCTTGATTCTGGACTCTCCGGGCTTTCAGCTCCGTGCCGAATGCCAGAGTACTATCACGGTATTGTTATAACTCAAGACTGTTGACCGTCAATATCTACAAAGGTTCTAGGTGATGAACTTAGCAAAGTATATACCACAATAGAGCTTCTGTAACTCTTATGGTGTCCGGAATAACCACAAAAACAATACCAACAACCACAATACTTAAATTAGTTACGAACCGAGTACACTAGCTTGACGCTACAAAAGAACAGAACACAGTAATGGAGACTACGCCAGCTCCTACCATCCTGTCTCACATACAATCTGATATTCGATGCGTACTCGTTGACAAGTGTCGTCTAACATCTCACTATGTAACTATGTCATCAAGAAAATTAGTGACATGAATGGTCTATTTTTGTTGCTGTTGTCTAGCTACAGGGTAGCTGCTACACCATTTCTTGGAAAAAAAACGAAAGGGAATTTCAAGCATGGTTGATACTGGTGGAACTCCGGTGAATCAACTCTTCAAGAGTTACTCTTGTATAATCGTTCCAAAGCTATTCCAGTAGCCTTGTGTTGGATTGGGAGAAGTTCACATTTCACGAGTTAGATATTCGCATCGTCACGAGTTTTCGCTGCAAGATGAATTGGAGTTACACTATGGGAATAACCATTCTATATGGTTGTTTTATTAAATATTCATCTTATCTACAACGTACGCAGGCGTAGCCGAGTGTCAGAAGGCTCATCACACCAACGCAAGGTCTCAGAGATCGTTATGAAACAACTCAAGTGCATCTACGCTTCAGGACTGCCCCCAGGAACGAGCTGAAGGGAATGAGTCAGATAGAGACGAGAAATGGGAACGACCTACCATAGCGACTGAGCTGCCGTTAAGGAGGATAGACTCAATCTTGTCGACACGCTTTCCACCATCAGGAAGGATTGTGCTGAAGTTGTGAGCATAGCGGAGGAGAGATGTTCATTGAGACTTACTATTCCGTAACGTCATCGAGCACCATATTCACGTAGTCGTCAAATCCTCGAAGTGTTCCAACCTGAGACGAGACTAGGACCATTAATCCTTCCGTAATTGATTGTATTATCAGCAGTGGATGTTGGATATATCGTGGGTTTTCTTCATTGCACTAACAAACTGCATGCCACTTGGAGTAGACGTGTATAAAAATCTCCAAGGATCCCCCAAGGTTTCCACATTGTGACACAGAGCTTACCAGTTCACGATCACCCCGCATGATAACCCAGATGCGGCTGCCCACACACTTGTCGACCAAGGCAAGTGGGAGGAAGGACGGCCCTGTAGCAGTGGCTGTGGGGGGCGCTGACACGGTAGAAGACATTACGCGGGGGGAAACACTACAAAACAGGGCTGATCTGATGAAATCCGTAACGAGACGAAAACGAGTCGCCTAAATTCCAATTGAGTCGCATCTCCTAGGTAGAGGAATCCAATTGAGTGATTGCATCCCAGCAAGCAAGCCGACCTCCGAGAGCTCCGATGCCAACATGAACACAACCCCTGCCAGCCGTTGCAGAGACTGTGTCACACGTTTGAGTTGAGCTCCGACTCCTCAGCCGCTGTTATTTCCATCCCATCCGGTGGTCGGATATTTGAGTCGTCTAGTGCAGTCTCGCAGAGAAGGCCGTAGTGCTCAACCACAGCAGATGCCCGGTACAGCGATCGAATCTGATACCACTCCTCTGCCACTTCACACAAGAGCCCCCCTAGGACTTACCTCCCTTATTCGATCCCTTATAGGGCCAGAAAAGAGCCGATCCAATTTCGAACTCTGATTGGTTTGTCCAAGCCAGCGTTTGAGATCATACCGACACACTCGTAGGTAGCAGTTAACCAACATTGGTAAAGCGGGGTCTACAGAGGAACGTCATGGCGCTTCCCCCAAGTGTCTTACCTCGTCCCTGAGCGTCATTGACGAGAGCTGCAATCCACTGCCACACACATGTGATATCCTGTAAGACCAAACATAGGGCCAGCCAGAGGTTGACAAACGTCTGATAAGAACGGCAATGAGCGAAAGGGGAAACTCTAAACAACGCGTTTTGAGTGCAAAAATTGGGCACATGCTAACCTTCACTATTCTTATCAAGTTCATACCAACTAGATAAGTTCCCATGTCGAAAACAGCATCGTATTTCTGTGCAGAAACTCATCAACATGATCAGTAAAACGACTTCGCACAGGGACAGCACAGATCGAATAGTTGCAGCCCATAGTGGCCATCGAGAAGCCCTCAATAATGATCATGAATATGGCTATGATCTATAGGGTTTATCATGCTAATACATTCGATGCATATACCTCCCAAATTATATAATAATGAGATCTACATTGTTCGCCTTGTGCCGCGATGATGATCAGAAGATTGCTAAGATCTATTCTTGATGACTTTTATACCGGCTTTTGCCATGCGTTCGACACTAAGATCTACAGAGTGAATTCGGCCATAATATCTAGTTCGAAATAGATCTTCAGATTCATTTCATCTACACATATAAAGAGTGTAGGATCGATTCCTTGTGTCGTCACCGTTTGAGATACACCGGTTTAGTTTATCCTTCTTCCCTACGTCACGAACTTAGATGTATTCGCCCTATTCACTCGGAACAGTCTACTCCCCCCCCGCTCCCCCCGCTCCTCCTATACGTCTGCTTTCCTCAGCTGAATTCAGTAATTGCCTCACTAATTGTAGAATTTATGGTAGAAATGCAAAGAAACCAACAAGAGTTTCACCATCACATTTCCATCAGAATTTTCCATATTTTGACCATGCGCTCCTCCCCACCCTACCTCCTGCTCCTTATACCAATCGCTGCTATCCACGTGTTTAACTCCTGCCTTCCGAGCCTTCTCCGTATCGATCCACGACACCCAAGGGCATCTGAACAACAAGTCATATCTTTTCATGCGATCCAGAATCGCAGCTTTTTTTATTTTTTACAAGTTCGACTCTACTCACTTGAAATTGAGACATCCGACAAGAGCATGCAGATACCACTCCTTCACAACATCGTCATCCTTCAATTTCTCCGCCACCAAGCGAACATGATATGCTGTAGTCCAGACGAAATCCAAACTGTTATTCACCGAACAAGAAATCAACTTTTCCGCAGATGCCTAAATCGATGGACGCAAAATTACCGCGCGCCACGAAATTCCCCACCCCTTACACAAGCCAAGAATCTCACAGTCTCCTCCGTATCTCTATTTCGGAGGAGCGCTCGGGCGACCTTATCAGCCGTGGAAATGACACTTTTACGTGAGGAAGACACTTGCTGCGCAGAAATACCTACAATCCTCTCGAACGCTTGCAAGTTCTTATCAACGTACATATTTCTTTCCACGGCGCCCGATACTTCTTCGCCAGCTCCGTTTTTCTACTCCACGACTCAACGAAATTCTCCAGAGCCCTCAGCCCAGCAGTTTGTAAAGTCTCTGCCGCCTTCTCCTCAGCTACAGGGTGTATAGGTACAGCCACTGGTTTTTCGGTGATTTCGTGGCGCGCGAAATCCGGAGTGTTCGGCAACACTGGTGCGGGTGCAGCCAATTTCTTAGGCGATTGTGGCGAGGGCTCTACGACAGTCCTGAGGAGGAGGAATATATGTTTGCTTCCCCCAGCTGAGCTTAGGAGTTTCCTCACTGATTATAGGAGTTCGAGTAGAGGTGTACAGAAACCAACAACAATTTCCTCAGAATTTCCATATAGTCACCAACACGCGTATTTGACCATGCATCATCGTCACCATACCACACCATTACTACTTCTCATCATCCACCTTCCTTTTCTCCGCCTCCACCCTCTTTTTCTCTTCAATTACCCTCAAGCGCTTCTCCTCAGCCACACTCTCCTCCTCCTCTTCCTCCCTCCTCCTAGCCGCCATACTATGCCTTACCCTACCGGCCTCGTCTATCGCCCTCAGCCGTTGTAGTTGAACCTGAAGACAACCAACACTACTAAGTAGCTAACACAGAGGCGTTCACCTACTTTCTTATCCCATACACTCCAATTTTCAATATTGCCTCTGAGCTTACTAAGAACGGTCGAGTCCCGGTACCAAGGCCCACCTAAAAACACCCTAGTGATATCAAAAACACTAGTGAAAAACATATTTCACGACTACTGCATATCGCATTTTCCACAGAGTATTACGACATTTCATGTGAAACAGAATTCAGCGATCCCAACGGAGTGTCCTGAGTTGATATGGACCTCTCCTAACCTACCTTCCGCCTCAAGTGAGTAGTCGGTCGAATACCATAAATCCACCAAATCATCTTCATCCCCCACCACCGTGCTGCACACCTGGGGAGCCGCAACTGCCGGAACAGTAGAAGTGACACCATCTACAGATGCCTGCACCAGGAAAACTCCGGAAAACTTCACGCGCCACGAAATTCACCACCTTCCTCCCCAGCCCCTCTTCCTCCTCGTCGTCGTCTAATCCAAAGAGATCAAAATACGTGCGCTTCGACCGAGGCCTGCTTTGGTACCAAGGAAGGCCGAGAGACCGGTCGTACTCCTCCTCTACATCACTACCACTACTATCCAGTCCAAAACTAAAAGTAATTTTTTCAATCCCATATGCTACTACACTCCACCCCTACTAGAAAGCCTCATCTTCTCCAGAATCGGCAGAGGAGCTTTTATAATCATCCGAATCAGATTCATCGAGATCATCAAAGCAACCGGTAGAACGAGGGCCAACGCCCCACAACCTCCCCATGTGGAATCCACTCGAAGGCATCTGAGCGTCACGCACAGCGAAGATTTACGATGATGGAATAAACCACATAAAAGCCCTGCGGAGATACATAATTGACTCGATACCACTCTCTACCCCACTTTCACATCAGAAAATTGCGGAAAATATTTCCCCCCCCCTCACAAGAAAGCTCATCGAATTTCCCACTGCCCTTCAAAGCCTCCTCTATTACAGTGTTGAGCGTGGCCAACTCTTTCGCTATGTCCTCCTCAGCCTCTCGTTGTTTCCGCCACCGCTCGGCTGTCTCCTCCAACTCCCCGACCTTCCGGACGAGCCTATCGAGAGCAGCTGAGCCTCTTTCTGAGTAGTCGCATGGTGTTGATGCCACCATAGATGGTCATAAGGAACTGATAGTAGATTTGAAGTAAATACTACAACGCAAGAAAAATCAGGGTTGATATGAAACTGTGGATCAACCGAGGGGACGATTACCGAAGGGTCCGGGAGGAGGAGGCATTGGGAGGCCCTTGCCCATCATGGGGAATCCTGGAAATAAATTGACAGTGTAGAAGTTGCATAAAAACTCGGGTGTATAATTACCGAAACCCTTCCCGAAGAAAGGCATGCCCTTGCCCTTTCCGAAGCCCTTTCCAGCGAAGGGCGGTGCGTACGGGTGTGAACCCTGAATGGTAGGGACGGCGGAGGGGTAGTTCACTGGGCCGAGGGCTGAAAAATATAAAAGTGAAAACCTATAGGGAAAAGTAGAGGGACTACCCTTGGCCTCAGGTTGATCATCATAGTTGGGCACACCTACGCCCTTCTCCTTCATCTGCTCGGTATAGTAACTGAGAAGAATCTTTAGGTTGAGCGAGGAAGATACGGAATAGGTCCAGAATAGTCCACTTACTCAATTTTATTCTGGATATGCTTCCGACCAGTGGAATGCTGCTTCCTTCCGAAGAAGCTACTGTGAGCTAGGAAGATATCACAGTACTCGCAGAAGTACTTAGGCATTGAAAACCAGCAAAAACCAGCTACTAAGGAAGGTTATGTTGGACGATTTAATTTCGTGGCGCGTGGTAGTCTTTAGCGGAGCGAAGAGAGTCATGAATGTGTATTTGGCTGGCCTAACTTGTGCAATCTTGCTCAACTTTAATACTTTTATGCTACTCGGCTATAATCGTGCGTAAAAATCTCACATTTTCAAATTTCTTTCACAAATTCTCATTACATGCTCTTATACTTTCAGCATGTGTCCCTCTTATGCGTTGCTTCACATTTATTAACTCTAAACGCCTCCCAACACTACAATTCTACTCTTCCCAACGCATTCCCAATCCTACATCGTGCGTAACTTCATCACGTTCTCTTGCACTTCTTGCAGTTAGGCAATTTGTGTACTCACGCAGTTCGTGCAAATTTGCAACCATTTGGCGATCGTATGGGGGTACACTTCTACCCAAACGAAACCTTCAACTATTACTCCACACTGTGGAGTCCACGCTTTACTTTAATAACAAACCAAGTGCTAAAACCATGCAGGAAATGCACTATAACCCCCTCCGTAGGAGCTAGAGGCTCTAGCCTAGAGCTTCCCCGGAGCTAAGCGACGCGGGCTGCTAGTGATTTTATTTGCAAACACAGGTGTTCCTTCTTAGAGGAAAGTTGTAGTAGACTAAGCACTCAACAAGTGCCGAAGTGATGAAAGACGTAAAGCTTCTTATGCAGACTAAGCTACGTTCGTACGCAAACTCAATGACTCAACTCATCCCGCCCTGCCGAGTCGGCAGTACCGACTTCATCTGTGGCCGTCGGACCGCCATCATTACACAGTTGAGGATTGCAAGTCAAGATGCTGACAATCAGAGACTACTGGGTGGCAGAGGGTGGGCAAAACGAGACTAATCTCAGGATCAGTCCTAGGTCCTAGGCTAGGACTCCTAGCTACTAGTGTCTGCATTGGAATCTGTGATTGTGACTAGTTTGACTACCAGTAGCTCTTGAGCCACTACTATTAAGACCAGAGACTACTAATGCTCAAGCTATAGAAGCGTGCCTTGTGCGCTTCCGCGAGGGTCTGGACTGTTGTCCATGCGTTCCAAAGCATGGTGAGCAGAGTGTCCAAGACCCAAACCCAAACCAGACTCGAGTGACTTCTCATACCGCCTCTCACGAACCTTACGAGAGGTATAACCCCTGACCTTAGCAATCCTACAGACAGGTGTAGGATGGTCAGTGTGATCCACCATAGTATTAGAGTTCTTACCACTTCTAGTCAATACCATAATTTACTTATTGAACTCAATATCTGTCACTTGACAAATGCCGTATACTATCCCTCAGCTATTGATGGAAGCGTAGCCACTAGCGGGTATACAATAATGAAACCGTATACCTTAGACCCTGTGCCTAAGTCCAGGTTCCAAGGGAAGATTCAGAGAATCAACTTCAGAACCAACCTTAAAACCTTACGTGTGACGCGCCTGCGTTCACGCAGGAATAATAGATCACACGCATGCACAGACCATGATTCGCACAAAGCAATATAACAGCCGTAACACAGTAGAACCGTAACGAAATGATATCATACTAACGGTCTAGCATGATCACACGTTAGCAGGGCTCCGTACTCTGCGCTGAACCGCACAGCCTTCGCGCTCGACTAGTGGCTCCGGTTTACTCAGATCCAGTTCGTACGCAGCAAGTTCTCACGTTGACTTGATTATCTACTACAGGCGTTGAAACCCCCCAATTGCGCTCCACCTATCCGCCGCCGAGCCGCGCATTTACTGAGCGATCCCAAGCTTGTGAGGCCAGTGGTAAGCAATTCAAGAGAGTACGAATTTCAGCAGAGATACAGCTAGTAGCTGCCAGCTACGGAGAATTATTGGTCCAAATTGAACCATTAATTCTCAGGAATTGGCGAGTGATCCATTAAATATCGTTGAATTGTCAAAATATAATGGAGTTTCACCAGTAATGTGGAAAACACTAGCGAAAAACGTTTATCACATTTCACTCCGCGAAAAACACATGTGAGCAGTGAATAACGCGTAAAACACGTGATATGTGAAACGCGAGAGTATTACGCGAAATACGAGCTCATTACGCCTACAGACTGTAGGTTTGGAACTGTAGGCTACGGTTGGCTGTCGGCCTTCCTTTAGCCCAGCTTGGGCGTTGGGACTACAAGAGCGCAGCTGACGTTCGCGTCTCAGGGGCTCGCTGATACTGTTGTTGTCACAACACTGTTATGTATAGTATACACTAGTATACATACACTAGTACACTGTATGTATAGTGTACATAAAATCTTCATGATACAAGTAAGATGTATCCAGCAGATAGTCTTCTGGCATTTACAATATAAGCCACTGTTCGAATCTGTCGAAGTACTCGACAGCGCGGTTCCCAGGAGTCACTCCTGAGGAGTGTCAACTTCCTGTCGTGTTTGTCAATGCCTGTCCTATCATGATCATCACTGCTATACTTATTCTTGTGTGCGGCTGTCGCTTTGATACTCATGTTGTGCCCTAAAAGGGTACTTGAGGGACATGAGAGTATTATACATCGCCAACCCATCGCTTGGGCAAGGAGCATTCAAAATGGCATCCATTGTGTACGAGATTAAGATCTCTCTTAATCAATGCGACAGCTGCGCGAAATGGCGAAGGGAATCTTGCTCACTTTAGAGAAACTCAACACCTCATACTCGCGGCAATCGAGAACGGTATGCGATTGATTGATCAAATGAAATGAAATGAAATGAAATACGAAACCCTCTCACTCAGCCTTCTACACCTGGTGTTGCAAAAAAACAAAGTTCTACCTGCTGAAGTAAAGCTTCCATGAGAGCATCAAAATATAAGCTAGAAAATGGACTTCTACGAGTCGAGAGAGTGATCGGAGCCCCAGCCACGAAATCTGGACTATGCAGGCATCGTAATTGTGGTCTGAAACCTCTCCGAAACCAACTTATAACCGATATCTAGCATAATCATAGATATCTAGGAGATGAAACATTCATCGAGATTTAAGGGTCGGGACACACATATACTTGTATATATTGCATTGGCCTGAAGGTGACAACTTCGTTCACGCCGTGACAGTTTTCAAGGCTCACCGAAACTTCCAACGCCTCGCTTTAGATAGACGTAACCATCTTGGCCCCAAGATCTTCCCCAGGAGTTTCTGATGATGAAGTAACTGATCAGACGGCAGATAATCGGCAGGCTATTAACACTGTTAGTGTTCCAGAAATGAGCCAATTCGGATCAGCACTAAGCCGTTTCGGATCAGGAAGGATTAGAAATGAAGACGCTTGTTCTTACTCTTGTCCGTTCTCGGTCCCATAGCCAACGGCGACAACGCCATGATCGATAGAGCCACCTTTAGCATTACAATTGGCTAAAAAAATAACAAGAAGGTTGTAATTCATCGGCATCCGCATCTATGAAATATCTTACGGTCCGAATACACTCCGGACTTGTAGTGTTGGAAGGATTGAAGATTAGCATACATGGCGATAGAAACAGGGGCAGCCGCTACACCCTCCATCAACGCCTTCTCTGTTTGATGCAACATTTGGTTCCCAGTTACTTCGCCGACCTATGAACAGCAAAGAGATTATGACGCACAGTAAGGATAACCGAGAAACATGGTGCGGGCGCAGTTGCAGACGAAAGGAGCCATGTCACGTATCCCTACTGGGAGTCCGTCAGTTTTGTTCTCAACCGTAGCTTGGCATGTTTCGTCCGAACCGACGTAGGGGTAAGTCGACTCCTTGTCGACACCAGTCGCTTTGATATACTCAAAGGCCTTGTCCATCAAGCCTCCATTGCAACCCCTGAGATGAGGAATGAAACGCATCGTGACTCACCCACTTACTCGTTTCCATAGGCACCGGCGCAATCGACTAGCTGCTGTTCGGATAAAGACAGAAGTTTACCGGTAGCGATGGCATAGCGCGGCTCGAGAGCACCTAAATGCACCAAGTCTCGAGGGCTCTAGCGGGTCCCATGGAGAGGTACCAATCGCGGAAAACGCCCAGCAGCTGCCACAGTATCCTTGGTCCTTAACCGGATTGAGCACACCCTTCTTTCTCCAATCAACCGACGTTGGAAGAGTCGTAGTTGTTGGTCCAGCTGACACGGAAACGACAGGCTTCCAACGGACACAGAGAGTTTCAGATCTCACCTCCAGCAACAAATCCATCTCCCATGCCTTCGCTCATATCGGTAGAACTGAGCTTGAGGGCGGCGAACTCCTCGAGAGTCAGGTCCGTGTATTCGTTGACTCCCAACTTGTATGAAAGGTCTGATTAGCTCAGTACGCACATCTTTTTACAACTGACCGGTATCACTCACTCTGGGCGTTGACTTCCTCGATATAGTTCAAGTTGTCATGGAAGATAGCAGCTCTCTTCATCTCTTCATCCTTATTGTCATAACTTTTACCATGCCTGCAAAAGAAGGCATTATAAACGAAATACAACTCACACCGTTTCTCACTTTTTTTGGAATCCAATGAAAGCCAAGCTCGAGGTTTCCAGATCCACGGCCTTGTACACAGGAAAGGCGAGGAGGAATACGACTGAGATGGTAGTCATTTCAACTCGATCACTCGATACAACTGGTAGGTAACGCGAGTCTTCACCGGTGAGTCTCAACGAAGTTTGAACAAGGCTAGAGTATGATAGGATCGATGACTTGGTATTCCGGGGTCCAACGAATTAGCGAAAATGAACAGGAACACATTCTCGGTCCGCACGTCACTTACGTGTGACTCACTGTAGCGCACAGACTCGTGCCCTCGGCCGAGGAACTTTAACAACCCCGCAGCTTCTCAGGTGGTAAGAAATCGAACGAAAACAGATTGAAATTTTATCTGAAGCTGATTGCTGAAAGAAAACTAGCTTAAGACCATAAATGACTCTTCTCTTTAACGATAACTAACCTCCATTTTTTGGAATGCTCCTTGTGCGAACGCCCATCCAGCACACACGCCCCACTAGGGCAGCACGCAGGGACGACTGTATATACATTCGCTCTGTCGCACTAGACAATTAATCGAGCACGCTCAATACCTAGTGGTACCTATAGATTCGCAGAGGCTCCTCGTGCCCACAATTGAAATTCATCTCCGTTGTGTGAGAAGTCAGTGTAAGAGGCATTACGCATCACACAGCGCACAAACTTATTTCACGCACGCCGATAGGATGCGATGGTCGGAAGATCTCTTATGAGCTACTGCTTCCGTGATTGGAACTAGTTGAGTTCTCTATGTTGGCAGTTGAGCGTGCCACGCTCAGCGTGTGTCGACTTACCGTGTGCCACTTACATGCCATACACTGTATGGCATACACAACTTTCGCAGTTTCACTCGATCACACACTTCATCATCCAAGGGCTCGGAAGTTCCGACTCGGGACCACGTGGAACCGAGGTGAGGGCGAGTTGGCTTCTCGTGTTCCTTCGTCAAGTCACCCGGAGCAACCGATACAGCACTAGTGTGCCGGCCGGGGACGGCTTTTGTCTTGGCGGACGTCCTCGTCTGACTGTGGATATCTTCTGATTCGGAAGCTCTGAATCGAATAGAACCTGCAATATGGCTCCCGTATTGAAGTTCCAGCCCGGAACTTCCGGAGTGACCCAACTTACTTCTTTCTCAATTCACAAGCCACTTCTGCAGCGAAACGGTGACGAGTAATTCACGTCATGCCGTTCGCAGTTGATGGAGGTTCTGTGATGGGAGTTTTGGCAATATGTCACGGACGAGGGTGGATCTCACAAACCCATGTGGGAAGCAGTCCACGTCCGTGACGCATTCAGTGCCCGGGATAAAACACGGCTATACCAATCAGCCACCGTGCAGATCCCGGGTGAATGCCCCCCATCTCAGATAGAAAAAAAAATAAACACCGTCACACCCAAGATAGCTCGTCTGATGCCTAACTAAGAGTGCTTGAGGGTTTCCAACAGGAATTCTCAAGCACTCTGGGGGAACTTTCTCTGTTCTTGGGTGTGTGGTCCGAAGGTGATCAGACTGGATCACTGCTTTAGCAACGACTTGACGTCTTGCTTTTCTCTTGAAATTCCGTCATCTGTCTTTCGGCTATCCGTGAACTTGCTCTCTTGGGAGACCTTCACTCACGTCATGCCGTTCGCAGTTGATGGAGGTTCTGTGATGGGAGTTTTGGCAATATGTCACGGACGAGGGTGGATCTCACAAACCCATGTGGGAAGCAGTCCACGTCCGTGACGCATTCAGTGCCCGGGATAAAACACGGCTATACCAATCAGCCACCGTGCAGATCCCGGGTGAATGCCCCCGCCTCATGTCGCCAAACCTCTCCCGCGTGCATGTTCGAAGCTCCATACTTGCATGCCCAACGGGTTAATTAAGGGTGTTAGCAAGTTCACGCCTGGGTTTTATGTCAGTGATCTGATCCCTTCCGCCGTTCTCGGGTCCCCAACCCATGAAACACAGGTGTGGCCTTGTTACTAATCACTCTTAAACACAAATCCTAGTGATCCCAGAAACACCTTATCCGACCATCCTCAGACTATGCGGGCAGCGGGCCTCGATCACAATTACTTATGAGTTCGTGACTCACGGACTTATATGAAGTTCACCTCCTATCCACCTAGTCCAGAGGGCGGTGTACGTATTCTCTCACTATAGCTGCTCCGTACCTGGCGAGCTTTTTGACCTCCTCGTCCCCATATGTATCGATCATCGCGTCTTGGCGCCACCGCGATATTCCTTTGATAATTGCCCTTGGTGCATCGGCACGCAAGTGATATACTGTCCCACTTCTACGGCAGGAATGACCAGAAAATTTCAGAGACTGCATAAGGTCCACCTCGCCAATAGAGTCCGGTAGAAACTGGGCCAAGCTTTCAACTTCCGCCGTAGACTTCTTATAGATTTTGTGGAAGGTTCTGAGTGGCCTGGCCGTCGCGTCTCAGAGGCTAATCATAGTGTGGCAGCAGCACCATTTCCCCCTTTGTTCGCACACATCCTTCGAAGCATTACACGAGGTCTCCACGTACTCAATCTTGTTGACTTTGGTGACACCGAGGTGTATTCTAATATGAGTCCCAGGGACCCCAGGTAGTGTCTCGGTGATATCCTGGCTTCTTACGCGCAGCAACTCGCCGGACCTTAAGCTCGGTGATATCCCGCTGAGGAGAGCTGATCGTAAAAGGCTTTTCTCTGGTTTGTCCTTGATTCAAGGACCTTGAACTGTGCCTCAGGACAGTCAAATAGGGACTCAACTGCACTCTCGGGCATTATGGCAGCGAGCTTGGCATCCCGCCGGGGCCTTATACCGTATAAGTTATACGTGAAACAGCCTGCATGGCTTGCTTAATAAGCGTTTCATCCGCGGCCTCCATGGTGCTAAAGCCTTCCAGTTTCTGCAAAGTCCTTAGGGCTTTGATTCGCTTCTGTACCGAGGTGGAATTCAGCTCAGTTACATCCAACAGGCATCTGATGTATCGGATAACTTTACCGGCGGACAATCCCATTTCATAGACCTCTCTTCTTGCCCTTTCGTAGCCTCTTCTTGTGTCCTCACTTATCGAAAGCCCTAGTAGCTCCAGATTCTGAGCAGTAGCCTCAGCTGAACCGTGTGCAGGCTGAATCTCGTTCCACTTCGTGAAGGCGGAGTTTTCTGACATGGGGAATGTAGCGGTCCAACGATGACGGACAAATCTGGCATCCCTTTAGTTGGGCCCACTCAAATTGACAGGAACTCAGTCGGGTCCGCAAACGAGAAACCGAGCACTATGAACCCACGTTAGTCGTGAGTCACAACTTCTGACGAAGGTGATGTCTTACAGACTTGAAGAGGAGTGAACGCCACAGCTTTTTTTAAGGACTTAACGTGGCACCTGCCGCCACGACCTCGGCATTTGACCGGTGGATACCAACGAAGCACGAGTTAACCTAGAGATATCATCAGCTATGCTGTTCAAGGTCCCGGCAATATGATGAACATTGAGTCGGCAACGGAAGTCGCCGAATTTCCGAACGACGGAAGCAAGGCTCATAGAGCGCGACCTGAAGCTTCTTAGTACTGACACCGTACAAGTGTTGTCAGAGAAGCATCTGATATAAGTCACCCACGTAGCACATATTGCCCGGATGTACTCGCAGCCGTAACAGACTGCGAGTAGTTCGAGGAAATTACTATCACCGCTGACGAACTTCACTGGTTCCAGCTCGGCAGAAAGTTGATCATCGAGCCGATTCCTGCGCTCATACCAAATCTGCCTCCAAATCTCGGGATTTTCCTCCATATTTATCGAAAACTATCGTAGATTCCGAGTATCGCATCGTGGAAAGAAGTCCCTACCCAGACCGCATCCAGAGGCATCGGTCACCAATAGATATTCATCCTTGTAGTCAATGTATGGATTACATTTGTTGTGACTGTGAATGAAGGTCTCGGCGGACTTATGTAGCTCTAGGCGCCTGGTTGGTGATATTCTGACGCTCCGAAGAGACGGTCGCTGGCTCACGACCATCAGTACTTCATAGAGCTTATCCAATTTGGGCCGTATTTCGGGAATCCAACCTGTACACCAGTTTATGCGGCCAAC